CAGATAAACGATGTCAAGTTAGAGAGAATATCTTGAAAGCATGAATGTATTTGTTAGGGATATTTACCCTGTGCTTCATTCAAATAAAAAAAAAACATTTGGTAATGCCCATTACCCATGAGTCTTTGCAGGTTTCCTTCAATCATTGGCCAAATTTACTACCACTCATCCATGAACATGTAATTAGCAAAGTTTCATTTTAAATTTATAAAAAAAAAACATCCATGCCTGTTATTTTTAATGATATGTCATGCTGGGTTGTATTTTTCTTTATTTTATTGTTTGAGCAACACATCACGGTAGGTCAGTTATGGGAAATGCAGAAAAATATTGCACCACCCAAAGTGTGTGCTACTAGTTTACACAAATCTTTGGCATATGTACCAAATCAAAATATTTACTAATTGTAATTGTTTAATTATAAACATTCTTTATTACATTCATGTAGTTTTCTCAAGATAATCTTACAATATATAATGTAAGCAGTTATTAATATCAATTTTGATAGGATATTTATTTCACAGATATCTCAGATGGATTCTCTTACATGCTGGGCATGAATGGCTGTTCCAACATTCATACACACTCCCTTCACATTTCTATCATACAAACAATTACACTGCGTTCACTTATTTCTGTTGTTTAATATATAGACATTAAATTGGTGAACAACCTAACTCCCACTGTAAAGTTGTAAAGTTTATGTAAAGCATGTAGACCCCTTAACTCCCACTGTAAAGTTGTAAAGTTTATGTAAAGCATGTAGACCCCTTAACTCCCACTGTAAAGTTGTAAAGTTTATGTAAAGCATGTAGACCCCTTAACTCCCACTGTAAAGTTGTAAAGTTTATGTAAAGCATGTGGACCCCTTAACTCCCACTGTAAAGTTGTAAAGTTTATGTAAAGCATGTAGACCCCTTAACTCCCACTGTAAAGTTGTAAAGTTTATGTAAAGCATGTAGACCCCTTAACTCCCACTGTAAAGTTGTAAAGTTTATGTAAAGCATGTAGACCCCTTAACTCCCACTGTAAAGTTGTAAAGTTTATGTAAAGCATGTAGACCCCTTAACTCCCACTGTAAAGTTGTAAAGTTTATGTAAAGCATGTAGACCCCTTAACTCCCACTGTAAAGTTGTAAAGTTTATGTAAAGCATGTAGACCCCTTAACTCCCACTGTAAAGTTGTAAAGTTTATGTAAAGCATGTAGACCCCTTAACTCCCACTGTAAAGTTGTAAAGTTTATGTAAAGCATGTAGACCCCTTAA